ATCTCCCAAGTGACTCGTACTGCGATGCTGCGACTAGGAAGTAACGCTACACACCCGGCGGCCTGCCAAATCTCCACGTCCCTGCCTCAATTCTGTTTGGTTTCTGTAAGGCGTCGTCGCACTTCTAGCTACATACGTGCAAACGCCCCTTTTCCCTCTCAGGTAGCTACACTATTAACAGGACTACGGAGACTCCAACTCTCTCTGGAGACGGTGGATACCATTCGCAAGATCGCGCTGGAATTTGGCGTTACATGGCGCTCTCGAGTTTGACTTTCAGGCGTTGTGACACTTGACACACACCCGCTCTTCTGTCAGTCATGACGCGAACGCTTATATTACTTACCTTGGATATTCATCCCTGTAAATAAGCGAAGGACAAAACATGAAGTAAACATATTGTTCCACACTAGGCCATTCAGAAGCGGTACCTGGCTGAATTCAGGCATTAGATTGAATCGAATTAAATAGTGAAAGTACTTCTGCTCACCTCAACTACCGTTCCACTGGTCTTTTTAGCGATCGCTCGTGGCATGTTCTCGCGGAGAAACGAGTGTAGCTTCATGGCTATTCGCGTCTAGAAATCATAGTTTGGAACGGTTACTTACTCGTTATGTTTTTAAACGAGATTCGTGGCGTATTTGAAAGCGCTCAGGGGATGGGGGACACCAACTTTGGCGCTGTGCGCGACATTCGCACCAAGACACAATTAGCTTGACGTGAAAGTTCTACAAAATGTCGAGTCAACTAGCTGTGAACTCCTTCAATAGCTTTCGTCGCAACATAAATCTCTTGACCGATACCCTTATGCTAACACTCCTGACAGCTCTATAAGCCTACCTTGAAATGTATAGCTCCAGTACGACATTAGCTGAACAACACTATTCTCTCATTTGGTCTCTTTTATTATCTAGACCGCTCAAATGCGTTTCTTCCGCTGCTCGGTTTGGGAGGGGCATTTTGCACTTTCACCAGTCCCTTTCGGGGGTTCATGTTGAGTAACAGGTCACATCCTGAGGCCTGTAAACTGCTGTGAAGCTGCGAAGCGGTACCAGTGGATCACAGGATTTTACAGGTCTCCACAAGGTAGCCTGAACTAGCTTTGTTGAGTGCATTTAGTGCCCCCCCCCCCCCAAGCAGAATTGCACCTTGATGGTAACCAAGCGTGGGCTCTGTGAGCGTGAGGAGCGCTTCTGGTCCCGCTTGGGGTCAAAAAGTTGCGCATAGGTCAGCATTTCTGCCCCCACGCCCCCAACCATTTTTCAATCTCAAAGTCGAGTTTTGGAAACAGCAGCAATCAAAAACTCACCATTTCGCAGGTTATTATGAATGAACAGGCACAGTTGAGCTCCCAAGCGAGTAGAAATTTCATAGGAAAGTAGAAAAACGCTGTGAGATAAGCGAGGTAGGCAGTGAGCATCGGCAACTGAAAATTGAATAGGTTAGCATTGCTTGCTGAAATTCGCTTACACTTCTGTATGAATCTACTGATGAATATTTTCCATGTAAATAAAATGGATCGGTTACTTCCTTGAATTTTAAAATGCTCAATACACAGCCTCATTTGCTGTAAACACGTTTCTACCAACGAAAGACTAAAAGTGTATGTCATCGGCGATGTTCGTTGGCAAAGCTTAGAAGTGGAAACTGTGAAATTCGATTGCAAGTAATATTGGCGGTTGCCATACAGAAACCTACTGTGGGACTCGAATCCAAATTCTTGAAGAACACATCACACAGTCCCGGTATAGGTGGAATCGGACCTGCCATTGCGCCTTCCTCGCTGGCGTTCCTCTCCTCTCCTGGGTCTCACCATGAAGGAGCACCAGCGATGATGGCACAGTGGTAGGCTCGTAGGTTCGACACCACGAGCGTTGAATATGCCTTTGAAGACAAACTGTACGTTCACCTCTGCGGATCCTGGTCCTTGTGGAGAATAGGTCCGCAGCTGCAGAGCGTGCCACTTCCCCGATTAAAAGTGCCCGGGAACGAGGCAGTACTACCCAGTGAAGTGATACACCACACAGTACCGACTCCATACTCAGGGTACAGCAC